TTGATTTCTGTTTGGAATCTGGAAACTTTATTTTGTTCACTTTCGGCGGCTGCCTCAGTTTCGTCAACCAAACGTTGCAGTTCCTCTTTCTCCAACTCGAAGCTTTTCATCATTTTTTGCTTCTCATTTATGCTCTTACCACCGTTTTCGAACTGAACACGCAGCTCTTTTAATTGCTTATCCAAATTTGCATTTTCATATTTCAAACCCTCCATTTGCATGGTGAGATTATCGTTCACAGTACGTTCCTTGAAGAGATCCGATGTGCACAGTCTGCATTCGCGTTGTGCTGAATCCAATTCGTTACTGGCATCATCAACACGTTTTTTCCATTCGCCAATCGTTTCGTTGAAACTTTTCTCTTTCTTATTCAATTGGCTTATATAACTGCTCAATCGCTCCACTTCACCGTTTATATCGTTCACTTCTTCGCTCAGTCGATCCTTTTCCTTCTGAAGTGTCGTTATTTTGGCATTACTCGTGTCCAGCTTCATCTCGATTTCTTTTATCGCTGAACATGTCATCATTTTTTGCTTCTCGATGACATTCTCATCCAGCAAATCAGCACTTTCGAATCGTCCCTTCAGTTGTTGTACTTCTGCAAGCGCTCTGTTCAATTGCGCTTCTAGCTCGTCTCGAGCAGCTATCTCGTCCTGTAACGATGCATTCGTGTGTTCACTTTCAATCCGAAGACTCTTAACCAATGTGTCAAGTCGTTTCTTTTCTGAATTCTCTTCAGCTACCAATTGTCTTGTTTCGTCCAGCTGATGTGTGATTTGTGTCTTCAAGCCGGTGATCGCATCAATCTCTGCTTGCAGCTCCTCAATACGACTCTTCAATTCGTCATTCGTTGACGACGTACGATTTCTGATAGCTGCTGAGTCTTGAAGTTTCGCCGATTGCTCATCGAAGTGTTGCCTCAAATCCGCTAATGTTACTTCAAGTTCTTTGCGACGACGCTCAACATCAGCACGAAGTTTTGTCTGCGCATCGCAGTGTGACATTGCCATCTCGACTTGACTCGTCAGACTGGCCTTTTCCTTATCAATTTTCGCCTTTTGTCGTTTCATTTCAGCGATTTGATCGTTCAACTCTGCAATTCCGTCCGTATTTTTCTTATTCAATGCGTTCAGCTGCGAATACTCCCTGACCTTCATCTCGTCCAGTTCGCGTCTCAGTTTTGCAATCTCAGCCTCTTGACGCTTTCCAATCTCAATCTGTCGCGCTGTCACGCCGCGTTCCTCGTCCAGACGATCGTTCAACTCACTCAACTCTCGATGCACATCCGATCGACCTCGTTCGGCTCGACTTCGAGCCGCACACTCAGCGTCTCGTTCCTCC